TAGCTTTTTCCAGTTTGGGCGGTCGGCAGTCGTTCCGGAGAACTTGTCGGCCACAATGACTGCATCCGGATAAATGGCCTTTATATTGCGAATCTGCCTGTCAATATTTTGCTTTGCCGTAGACACTCTTACATAACCGTAAATCTTCATAGATTAACCCTCTTAAAAGAAACAGTATCGGTTTTAACGACCATATAAATTGATACTATAATTGTACGGATAAGCGCCGGGATTGTCAATGAGATTGATACAGAAATAATATAGGGTTAAATTAATACTAATTATTGCAGGTACCTTGACAGATTGGCAATAAGGTATATAATATACATAAGAAGAATACTTTATATAAAGTAAATATACAAATGAGGTGAATGCGGTGAAGATTATTGCAGTTGCAAATCAAAAGGGCGGTGTAGCTAAAACGACAACGACACATAACATCGGTGTTGCTTTGGCTGCGGCGGGGAAAAAGGTGTTGCTCGTTGATCTGGATAGCCAAGCCAGTCTGACAATTAGCGTAGGACTGGAACCGTTGGAGATGCAGCACACGATAGTAGATATCCTGAAGAAGGAAAGTGTCTCGGTACAGGAGTGTGTGCAGCAGTTGAAGGAGAATCTGTTTATTGTACCTTCGATTATAGATCTTGCTCCAATGGAAATGGAGCTTCTTTCGAGGGCCAGCAGAGAAAAGATTTTAGATCGTGCTCTAAGATCGGTGCAGGAATGCTATGATTATATTCTGATAGACTGCCCTCCGCAGCTTTCCATACTGACGATCAACGCGCTCTCCTGCGCAAATGAGGTTATAATCCCTGTGAAGACAGATTATCTTGCATATCGTGGACTGACACAGCTGCAGGATAGCATTCAAGAGATACAGGAGCTTATTAATCCGAGTTTGAAGATTCTGGGAGTAATTGCAACACTGCATGATGCGCGGGTAACGGATGACAAGGAAATATTATCTCTGCTGCGGGAAGAATATAACGTGATTGGCGTTATCAAACGCCTTGCGGTGGCGAAAAAAGGAATCTACGACGGCTTAGCGGTAGTAGAGCAAGCACCAAGTAGTGATGCAGCCAAGGAATATAGGGCAATTTCTGAAATGATTCTGAATGATAAAAATACCAGGGAGGAAATGATTCATGAGTAAGCTGCAGGATAGAGAGAATAAGCGGAGAGCTATTATTGGGAGCATGGTAGAAGATACGGTGTCAGAGGCCCCAGCGGAATCTGTTAGCCGTGGCCGTCCGAAGGAAGATCGTGAGCTTAAAAAGAGAGTTTCTTTGTCTGTGCTGCCGAGCTTATATGAGGACATTCAAAAGATTGCTTATGTGCAGCGCAAGAACACAAGCGAGGTAGTCTCTGAGCTGATGGAGAAATTCCGTGCGGAGCATGAAAAGGAATTGAGAGAATACGAGAATATAAGATGACTTTGAAAAAGTGCATAGCTTGAAATGCACTCGGGCTATGAGAAAACGTGGGTTAAAGTTATGCTGATTTACTTGGCACTGATCGAAACGGATTCGGATAAAGAGAAATTTGAAATCATATACACCGAATACAAGGACCTAATGTTCTATGTCGCGAATAAGATTCTGGGCGATACCAGGGATTCTGAGGACATAGTACACGATGCTTTCGTAAAGATCGCAGAAATAATTGGAAAGATTGATACTGCTAAGTGTCCCAAAACGAGGAACTTAGTCGTAACTATAGTTGAGAGGAAAGCAATAGACCTTTACCGGCAGCGAAAGCGCAGAAAAACCGTGTTTCTTGATGAAGAACTGATAAATGTCCTATCGGTAGAAGATATTCAAGCAGATCCGGATCGACCGCCTATAGCAGAAGCCATTGCATTGCTTCCGACGAGGTACAGGGAGCTGGTGCTTTTGAAATATGATAGTGGCTATTCAGAAAGAGAGATAGCCGCCCTTCTTTCCATGACGGAGGCAAACGTACATAAAACGATGCAGCGAGCGAAGGAGAAGTTGGGTCAAATACTGGGAAAATTGGAGGAAAACAAATAGTGATAATTTCAGAGGAAATGCTTTATGAGAATGCGCCGAAGGCGAGAGATATTTGGCTCGGCACATTACCTCAGAAAGCAGATGTTCCAGAACACACCTTCTCCGAACAATTTGAAAAGAAAATGGATAAACTGCTACGAAGTCCTAAGAGAGCCGTTCACCTGAAAACCTTCAGGCGAACAGTTGCAGCCGTTATGATTATCGCTACAGTTATGTTTTCGGCAGCCATGACAGTAGATGCGGCCTTCAGAGAGCGAGTGATAGAGGTTATAGTCTCCGTCTTTAACGAGCTTACTGATTATAGGTTTGTATCTCACGAGCCGGGAAAAGATCAGTATGAGATTTCGGAGCATACTGAAACGGAATTTGGCTATGTTCCGGATGGATTTGTAGAGAAAGAGAACATTAAGTCTGTTGACTATGAGTTTATCCGGTACGAAAGCAAAGATGGAAGATTCTTTGAGCTGGAGTGTGAGAACGTACTACCAGGAGACAGTTTTCATATGATACTGGATACGGAAAGCTCAGAATATGAGAAGGTGTGTCTGGGAGAGAAAGAGGCTTATTCAAATATCAAGAATGGAAACAGCGTGATTCTTTGGACAGATGATAGTTTTGTTTATCATCTGCGTAGCAACATGCAGTTGGAGGAATTGAAAAAGATCGCCTCAGAAATGAAATAAAAAAATAACAGAGAGTGTCCCAAAACACCCCCTTCATTCGTAACAGTAAGCAGAACGATGAAGGGGGTGTTTCCAATGGGCTGAGATATTCAAATGAAGAAAAATTAGGAGGTTTTACGTGAAATGAAGATGAAAAAAGTAATTGCCGTATTGTGCCTTGTATGCTTGGTCTTTTCCTTCTCGACGGTAGCGTTTGCTGCTGAAGAATCCATGAGCAGGAAAACAGTTGAGTTTTCAGAGGTTGAGTCAGCTAAAATGACCTATATAGAATCTGCAAGCAACAAGCTTTCAATTAAGAATAATGTGGCGAGTATAAGGGCTTCTGTCTGCGGATATAGTGGCTCTACAACGAAATGCGAAGTGTCGGTAAAGCTGCAGGTAAAGACATTGGGTCTATTTTGGTCAAACGTGGAGACATGGAGTGACAGCCAATATGGAGATCGTGCCTCTGTTAGTGGATCTACAGCGGTAACAGCCGGGAAAAGTTATCGGACAGTTGCTACGGTCACAGTTTGGAATGGATCAAGCTCTGAAAGCAGGACATTAACATCAGAAACGATAAAAGCGTGATAAGAATGAAGGTGAAAGCAAAAAGCATTATTATTGCTGCGCTTATAGTGTGTGTTGTAGCTGTAAGTTTTGGTACTGCAATGGCGTAAGAGATGTACCGAAAGAGGCAAAGGCTTAAATCATTAAAAGGAGAAATTGATATGAAAAAAACATTAAGTGTGCTGCTCGTACTTTGTTTGGCTTTCTCGATGATTGCAGGTACTGCGGTGGCAGCGGAAAAACCAGATTCAAACGAGGATATTCTTAATAGGCTTAGTAAAGAGTATGACATTGCAATCAGTTTGGCAACTGAGGAAGAAATGAATATTCTTGGATTCAAACCTTCTGCAAATAGAAAAGAAACCCGTATTGATGAAGCATTTATTAGAGATGCGATCGAAACAAACTTAAAATATACAGCTGATGCGACTAAAAAAATGAGCAGTGGAGACTGGAATGAGTACAAGTTAAGTCCAGGTCAGACATACGTGGCTGTAGAAGAACCGTTTCAAACAGCATCTGCAACTAAGGCATCAAGCAGAGTGCTTTATAAAAAGCCGTGGTATCCGAATGGTGGCAGAGCTGTCCTTGATTGTGATTATGATACAAGTACATGTGTTGTAGGTACTATCTATGGATTGGGTTTTGAACTTTATCAGCCATATGAGGGGACATATCATATCATTCCAGCCACCCTTGGAAGCAGGCGGATTGATGGAGGGCGGCATGTTGAGATGTCTTGCACGGGTAATTTCTACGTGGTTTCAGGAGGGCAGCTAATTAAACTTGGGACAGCGAGTCGCACGGCAACAATTCCTTGTTGATATTTTGCAACGTATCAGAATGGGAATTGGATTAGTTTCATCTTTTGATAACAAAAACATAAAGGGGTGCCGTCCGCAGACGGCAGGGGCATCGCCCCTCCGGAGCGAGACTTGGAACAGGGGTTATAGACTCGCTCCGGCACCTCTGATGCTGGCAGTGTGAGAGCATTCTAAATGGACATATTTGCCAGCATCAGGCGAAGATAGAAGAAAAGCACGGGCCAAAACAAGCCCGTGCTTTTCTTCTATCAAGCAAATAACGGTTTATCCGTTTGCGCAATAGTGTGAACGGGTAAACCGTTATACGGATATATTTCGGAATATGTTGACAACTCATTTATGATGTGGTATAGTATATTTGCAGGATTGGAACTCGTCTGGGCGAGTATAAAAAGTAATTAGGCCCAGAGCGTCCTGGAGCTTCCAGGGGTTTAGCATTTTGCTATTAAGAAGTCATTTGGGTTTGATACACCCATATGGCGCACGGACTTGCCGTAGTAACCTTTGTGAAATGGAAAGTGCGTCATCGACCTTGCATCAGTAACCTTTGTGAACGTGTGAGTAAGTAAAACGTATCGTGAATGTGGCCGGTATACTGTAAAAACTACCGGAGAGATGGCCAACTCTGATAAGGCCCGACAGATCCTTAAACTGCCGTAGACGTGAATTTTAATAAAATAAGGCTGCACACATAAGCAGAAAAAAAGTGTCGAGGAGTTTCCTCAAACCGTCACACATAAGACGTTAAAAAGTGTTCTTTGCCGATTGTCGAGGATCTTCGGATCTGGCATGAGGCGGCTTAGCTTTAACGTATATAAAGAGAACAAGAGACATAATGAAAATACAGTATATAAAATATATACTGTAAAGATAGTAAATATATTATTGCAATTATATAAAGAAGGAGGCTGCGTATGGGACGGAGGAATAAATCCTATCACAAGGACCTGCATCAGCAGGTGTATGACCGGCTGACCGGGATGCAAGCGTTTGGCGAAAGCAAAAAAGAAGCGGTTGCAAACGGAACGGATAAAGACAAGATTTTTTCTTACAATACCTATAAGACGTACTGGAAGCACTCAAAATATTTTATCCGGTATTTATCTGAACAGCATCCGGAGTGTACTACTTTGAAGAGTGCAAGGAAGTATGTAAATGAATGGCTGCAAACGAGAGTTGATCAGGGACTGTCGGCATGGACGATTCAAGCAGAAGCAAAAGCAATGGGAAAGCTTTTCGGAATACAGCCAGATGATGAAGACTACTTTAAGCCGCCCAAAAGAAATCGCTCGGAAATAAAGAGGAGCCGCGGAGATCGAAAGAGAGACGAGCATTTTTCAAAGACTAACAATGATGAGCTGATTAAATTCTGTAAGGGAACAGGGTTGCGAAGGAGCGAGCTGCAGGAGCTCCGAGGGAAAGATCTGATAACACGCTCGCAGATCGAAGAACGAATAAAGCAAATTGAAAGTATTCCGGAAGGGGATAGATCTCCTCAGACTGAAAAAGAGTTGGGTATGCTGCTTGATACCCGGATGTTTGAGGAAGAGTATTTTACTCATGTGAGAAACGGTAAGGGCGGCAGAGAGCGAATGAGTCCTATTATAGGGAAGAACGCCGAACAGATTATTGAACGGATCAGAAATACAGAGCCGGAAGAAAAGGTGTGGCAGCACATTCACAACAGCGCAGATATCCACGGTTATCGGGCAGAGTATGCTACGGCAATGTACAAAGCCCATGCGAGAGCCATCGAGGATATTCCCTATGATCGGGTGAATAAGGGAACAGGAAAGCGATTCCAGAGCGAGGTGTATGTCTGCAGAGTTGATGAGGCCGGGAAAAAGCTGGACAAGGCTGCCATGCTGGTTTGCAGCAAGGCATTAGGGCACAACCGCATTAGTGTTGTGGCAGATAATTATATTCGAGGCTTATAAGAAGAGAGGTGTGGCTGCGTGAGCGAATTTGTGAAGAAGAGTGTGGTCGGATACAAAGTGGTTCCTGGCGGCCACTCCGATCCGGAGTGTTCTCATGTCATATTAACTGTGAAAGAGTACGACAAGCTCGTAGGAGAGATAAACGCGGCAAAGAGAGCTGTCCGAGAAGCAGAGCAGAATGCGGAAGCGCAAATTAGGAAGACAAATAGTGCGGCAACGGCCAAAGTGCAAAGCATAGAAGATGCTGCAAAGGAAAGAGTAAATAAGGCCTACAACGAACTTAACGATATGAAATCTGCATTTGAGTATCAGAAGGGACTGAATGAAAATCTTCTCCGGATATCAAAAGAACGTGCCAATGCAGATAGAAAACTAAAACCCAAAAAAGAGCATACCGGGTATGCGGTGTGCTCATCAACTGAAAAGGAGATTCGGTATAAGGACGGGAGAAGACGGCTGCAGACGGCGATTCTCTGGGAGACGGTGCTGCAAAGTCCGTATAGCATTGACTTTTCGGAGGACCAGGCGCGGCAGGAAATGTTTTCGGATTTATTTTCAAGGGACGCAGCTGGACACTGGATGATAGGCAGGATAGGTGTTACCGCTGAGTATGAAGATGGATATGCGGACTTGATTGAGCGCCGGGAAGAGAAGGAATATGAGCCATACAATGTAATGCTGGAGAGAAGACTGCGAGCCAATTACAGAACAAAGTATTGGGAGCTGATCTTTTTGCATACGAAACCGCTGGGGATAGTTCCTCCTGATATGAGAGCTGGGCAAGGATGAAAAGAGATTGTCAAGGGGACTTGAAACAGACTTCTGGACAGAATATAATAGAAACGAAATTTTCCCAATAAACTCTTTGATAATCTAAGCCCCCTGTAAGGGTCTGTCCTTATAAAACTATTTTTCTCAGGAAGGGAGAAAGTCGGAGAGGAATAGGGGGTGTGCGGAGTGGGTGTTGGAACTGTGGTAAACTCGAAGAGTTTTCCAAGGGCGTAGCCCGTCAGTTTCAATGCCCCGGAGCACAGGGGGAAAGGGAGAGGTGACTTTCTCTTTAAGCCGCCTTTAGGCGGCGCTCTTTGGCTCTTCCTTTCCCCCTGTTTTGTTTGTAGGGGTCAGGAGGTATTACTCCCTCGGAAAACGAAAGCGATAAACTCCGGGGGTTTGGGGGCTGGCCCCCATGGTGTTTTCAGGAGGTATTATTGTGACTGATTATGAGGATGTATATGAATATCTGTCTGCGCAGTTTCCGGAAGTAGGTGGGTATGAGTTTTATAAAGAGCTCTTTCCGGATAATGAGTGTTCCGGAGAGCAGCATACGGACTATTCTCATCCCAATGCTATTTATTTGTATAAGGATGTACAGATGGATGGTAGTTATAAAATGCGGCGTAGGGTAATGTTGAATGACACTTGGGAGCAGGATTATATGGATTTTGTTGAGGAGAATCCATTAACACTTTGTAGTGGTCTTGTCTATCGACGGAGGGCCAATAAGCTGGAAAATGCGCAGAGAATGAATGCGTTGATCTTCGATTTGGATGGCGTTGGGTTGAGTGAGATTAGAAATCTTTTCTTACGCTTTGGCGGTGATCCGGAGAGAGTACGCAGACTTCCAATGCCGACTTTTCTTGTGTTGTCTGGGACGGGGATTCATGTGTATTATGTTTTCCAGGAGCCGGTAGATTTATACCCTAATATCAAGATACAGCTAAAAAGTCTGAAATATGATCTTACGTTTCGTATGTGGGATTATAAGGCGACTTCAAAGAGGAAGGATATACAGTATCAATCAATCAATCAGACGTTTCGTATGGTTGGTAGTGTGAATGAAAAGCATAATAAGCGCCTCGTGGCTTTTCGTACTGGGGAGCCGGTGATGTTGGACTATCTGAATGCCTACGCAAAACCGGAAAACAGGGTAGATGTAAATAAGCCGTTCAGACCGTCTAAAATGACGAGAGCCGAAGCACGGGAGGCTTACCCGGAGTGGTATCAGCGTGTGGTGGTTGAGGGCAATAAGAAGCGGAAGAAATGGGATATTGCCGGAAAGGTACATGGGGATGATCCGTATGCCCTGTATCATTGGTGGCTGCGTCAAATTGGAGAGATTCGGGGCGGACACAGATACTTTTTCCTTATGTGCTTGGCAATCTATGCTTATAAATGCGATGTGTCGAAAGAGAAGCTACGTAAAGATATGGAAGATGCTTTTGCGGATCTGCAGATGGTTCAGCATGAGAATGTTTTGACGAAGGAAGATGTAAAGAGTGCGTTGGAGGCCTATGATAAAGAATATTACAATTTCACGATTTCGGATATTCGGGCGTTAACGGATGTTCATATAGAGAAAAATAAAAGAAACGGACGAACACAGGCCAATCACGTGAAATATATGAACAATCAAAGGGCGTTCAAAAAAGAGATTGGGGAGTGTACAGATGGAGGCCGCCCGGTCGGGAGTGGAACTGCACAAAAGAAGGTTTTTGCTTGGCGCCGGCTTCATCCGGACGGAACGCCGAAAGAATGTATAGAGGAAACAGGGATTAGTAAGAATACCGTTTATAAATGGTGGAAGAGCTCTGTGCGGCCAGTGGGAATTGAAACTGGGCATATAGTAACGAAGATTTCACCGTCACAGGGGTTGAGTGATATGATTTTGGAGGACGTGAAGAAAGGGCTGTAAATGCCATTTCAACGTAAGGGAGGTTAGGAAAGCGTTAACAAAAAGTTTTCATACTTTTTGTGTGCAATGTATTTACAAGAGACATAAATGTGGCTATAATGGGAATAGCTAAATGCGAAAGGAGAATTGCTATGGCTATGAAATCAGATACGAGTATGACAATAAGAATGAATAGAGATATTAAGCAGGAGGCTCAACAGATTTTTGCCAGCTTGGGAATGGATATGACAACTGCTATCAATGTTTTTTTGAGGCAGGCGATTTACTACAATGGTTTTCCGTTTGATGTTCGGTTCGAAGTGCCGAATGCCGTTACTCTTGCGGCAATGGAAGAAGGAGATCGGATGATTACCGATCCTAAAGCAAAGAGATTTGATAGTGTAGAGTCTTTGTTTGCGGAGTTGAATGCAGAATGAAATACGCTATACAAAGGACCACCCAGTTTAAGAAGGATTTTAAGGCGGCTGTGAAGCGTGGCTGCGATATATCTAAGCTGCAAACAGTTGTGGCTCTCCTGGCAGACGGTGAGGTTCTTCCGAGAGAGTATTTAGATCATGAGTTGAAGGGAAAGCAGTACAGCGGGTATCGAGAGTGCCATATTGAGCCGGACTGGTTGTTGGTTTATAAAATTACAGAAAGTGTGCTTGTGCTATCTCTGTATAGGACGGGTACACACAGCGATTTATTCTGAAAAGTGAACTGCTCCAAGAGATACTTGATATGCGCTTTTTCTTATGCGCAGGATAGGGCAACGCTGGAGAGCGACCTGAGCGGCGCATAAGGTTTTGCGAGGGAGTGATACCAACAAGGTGTCACTCTTTTTTATTTACGCTATGTAAAGTATATAAAGTAAATAAAAATATTTTCGGTAGCCGCTACCGAAAATATAGTATTCGTGATATAATAGCTATAAAGAAAGGGGGGCCTCGTTTATGGAAGGACAAGAAAAGCGGAAGAGAGGTAGACCTAAAATCGATGCTGATTTTACGAAATTGCTCGCCAGTAGCCGTCGCGCGCAGGTCAATGCTAAGTATATGTTCGATGGAATGGTTTTTATCAAACATAGTCCAAAAGTCACGGAGCCGGAAATGCTATGGAAAGAAGATATAGCTACGGCCAGTGCTAAAGGTAAAAATGGTATTCTTGAGCAGCTCGGCAGAATGATCGAGCAGGATCATCTTCATCCTGAAGACTGCGCTTTTTTTGCGAATGAGGCAATTAGTGCATTGAAAGCCGGTTATACGTCCAGGGAAATTGAAAAGGCAATGCGAGCAATACGCATGGCAGTTAAGAAGGCAAAGGGAACACCAGAAGACAGTGCAGAACGATACCAAATTACGATGGCGATAAACGATTTAATTAGCATGAAATGATTTTCGGTAGCGGCTACCGAAAATATAAAACAAAGCAAAGAGCAGCTTATTTCAACTGAAAGGTCAAAAATATAGTATATAACAGCCATACTGTATATACAGTATGGCTGTTATATATAAAAATCAAGATATGCAGAAAGAAAAAATTTTTTGCCGTTGAGTGTCCCTTTTTGCCGGTGCTGTTCGTTACTATAAGTAAGAACAAGGAAAGAATGTGGAACCGATGGGCAACTAAGAAATTCGAGAGAACGTCGTAGGTATAGAAAATGTGGAGACAGGAGGATCACTATGAAAAGACTTTTGAGTATGCTACTGGTGTTTTGTATGGTATTTGCTCTGTCCGCTACAGCGCTTGCAGCAGATACTAATAAGAATGTATCGGAGGAGAAATATACTGTATCTGCGCCGGCAGGAGCACTTGGAACTTCTTCTGAAAATGGCGCTAAGATTACGTATGAAGTTGGACATGGGTCTGGCGAATGGAACACACTCTTTTCATGGGCTCGTGCGAAAACTGAAACTTGGGGATGGGCAACGTCAACTTATCTTTATGCAAGCGCAACGGTGACGGCAAACGGTTGCACATCTCAGACGGAAACGAAGAGCACAACCACAAAGCAGAGCGTTACAACGGATAAGATCTACCAGTCCACGAAAGATGGAAGAACGTTATCGACTTACCACATTGTCAAAGGTTATTGGGGTAACGAAACAACTCTTAAGACCGAATATTATTCCGGATCTTGGTCGTGGTAATTAAATGATATATACCGGGAACGCAGATTTATGCTGCGTTCCCGGTATATAGTAAAGGGTGATAAAGATGAAGAAGAATAGGCTGGCATTAGGGCTGATCACTCTTGTGGCAATGCTTGCTTTATGTTCGTGCACGCAAAAACAAAATGACGTTTCGAGGGCGTTCAATTTTGATGATAAATATAATAACGAAAAAGTGGTATCAATTGATCATGGAACGCTTGATGAAACAGGCGATATTAGAGTATGGATTTATGCAACATCAGAAACATCTTATGAACAGAATCACAATGATGAAAACTTAATATTGCGAAACACTCAAGAACCAGTTTATTTGTCTGTGCATCAGATTGGAAAAGATAGAAGAGTACGGATTTTGGCATACTTGGATTATGAAAGTCGAGCATTCTCCATAGGAACTGATGGCGAAAAAGCAGCATTTTATGATATTGAAATAAAAAATAATGAGGAAGTCGTTCTTCCGGTGTACTTTGATTTTTCAAATATTGACACAGAAAAGAGTCACCGGATGGCATTTATCATTATTTCTGGATATGACCAATATGCAAAAGATAAAGAGGATATAACTTATAATCCGGCCATTTCTACCATGTATCAACTTTTCTTTAAGAATTATGAGGCCGACGCAAGGTGCGCAGATGAAGAAAAGAAAAATATGGCAGAAAAAATGGAGTATTACGATAGCAGTGGTATAGCTCTTTTATTGAACACAAGTGAGGGAGGGTCTTCTCTTGATGAAGGGTTGCCTTTGCCTGATAAGCATTATCTTATGGATCCTGGCAATGAAATGAAGATGCACTGCTGGATTTCAAACACGTCTACTCCTGAAAAATATGCTCTTGTGTTTGTGACGGTAGGAAATTTGCCAGCGAGGATAAACGGGGAAAATTACCTAATTGTTGATCTAAACGAAAGAAAAATGGGAGAAAAAGAAATTGAGCTTATTC